GAAGCACTAGTGAAATTTAAATCAGAAGAACAGGCTATTAAAGCTGAACGTTTAAACCGAAGAAGATTCTTAGGGACAGAGGTATTGTTAAGACTTATATCTGAGGCACAAATGCAGGAGTTTGGTGTAAATTTTTCCTTGATGTCCAGTGAGAGAATACAAGGCCGTTCAGAGTCACATGATAGAGATGACCATTCCCATTTATTTGATCCAAAAGACCCACCGATTTACTCAGTGGGCCCTTCTGAAAACTTTAGGTATCAGCTAGAGGACTTGAGGCAACTAGATAACTTCAAGCATCCCCAGGGATATTTCCGACAGCCTGATAGGCGCCCTCCAGAAGACTTCAGGCACTCTCCGGAAGACTTCAGATTCCCTCCGGAGGACTTCAGACACTCCCCAGAGGGCTTTAGGCACCCTCGGGAGGAGCACTTCAGGCGGCCTCCTGAGGAAGACTTCAGGCGGCCTCGGGAGGACGAGTGGAGGTGGCCACCGGAGGAGGACTTCAGACAGCCCCACGAGGAGGACTTTAGGCGGCCACCAGAGGAGGATTTCAGGCGCCCTTGGGAAGAGGATTTCAGGTGCCCCCCGGAGGAGGACTTCAGGCACCCTAGGGAGGAGGACTTCAGGCAGCCCCCTGAGGAGGACTTTAGGAGACCCCCTGAGGAGGATTTCAGGCATTCCCCTGAGGAGGACTTCAGGCGGTCACCCCTGGAGCACTTCAGGCGACCACCCCAGGAGCACTTCAGGCGGCCACCCCAGGAGCACTTCAGGCGGCCACCCCAGGAGCACTTCAGGCGGCCACCCCAGGAGCACTTCAGGCGACCACCTCCAGAGCACTTCAGGCGACCACCCCCAGAGCATTTCAGGCGACCACCCCCAGAGCATTTCAGGCGCTCCCGAGAGGAAGATTTCAGACATATGCCAGATGAAGACTTCAGGGGCCCTCCAAATGAGGACTTCAGACACCCTCCTGATGAGGACTTCAGGAGTCCCCAGGAAGATTTTAGATCCCCTTCTGATGAGGATTTCAGGCAGCTCCCGGAGGAAGACCTCAGGGAAGTTCCAGAGGAGGATCCTAGACTTCCTGACAATTTCAGACCTCCTGGTGAGGATTTTAGGAGCCCACCTGATGATTTTAGAAGTCATCGCCCTTTTGTGAATTTTGGTCGCCCAGAAGGTGGCAAATTTGATTTTGGAAAGCGTAATATGGGAGGTTTTCCTGAAGGGAGATTTATGCCTGATCAGAAGTTAAACTGTGGTTCAGGTAGAGTAACTCCTGTTAAGATAATGAATCTTCCATTTAAAGCTAATGTTAATGAAATTTTAGACTTTTTCCACGGTTATAGAATCATACCTGATTCAGTTTCAATACAGTATAACGAGCAAGGATTGCCTACAGGGGAAGCCATTGTAGCTATGATAAACTATAATGAAGCCATGGCTGCTATTAAAGATCTAAATGATAGGCCAGTTGGCCCCCGCAAAGTTAAGCTAATTTTGCTTTAGAGAGCATTTCTAATCCCACAGTATTGATGCAGTAAAACGCATTTTTTTAAAAAAGTGTTTATTTTTAGTTATATGGTGAAACAGTTTAATTTTGACCTGTGCATAGAAAAACTGTAAATAGTTGAATGTGAATCTGCTTCTTTTGCTTGCAAATTGCCATTTATTTTTTTTCCTAACTTAAAATTATATATGCTTTTTTTTTCTTTGCTAGGGCAGTGTTTAATTTTTGTTGATGTTATAGGTAAATCTCAGACTTATATGGAGTTGTAGTTGGGAAAAATAAATTTTATATTCACTTTTATTTCATTCTGTAGTCAGCATATATTACTGAAACTGTAATAAGGAAATGGTCAGTGACTAATTTTTCAGGTTTGGCATTTTCATCACTACCTGCCTGCAGAATTCATGCCCTCTGGTCTGAGATATTGCTGTGTTAAGGTCTCCTGTTAATTATAAATAGTTAAAAATGAACAGACTGTGAAATTGAAATTTATTTGTGTAAAAAGCTTAGGGGATTCTTAAAGTTTCCATGTTCATAACTTTGCAAAGTTTTTTAAAAATAAAAGAAATTACAACTGAAGAGACTTAACTAATTAACTTATTTGTATAAAAGTATTGCAGTGGGTATTATGGTTTTTCAACAGCTCTATTAAACTACATTTTTGATGGGAGGGACCAGACATTCTGAAATATGTATAGTTCAGTGGTTTCTGCAACTTCTTATTAATCAGATTGATAAAATTAACATGAAATAGTCTTGTCAAAAGAAAATAAAAATAAGGTACTAGGGGGACTCTCGGGTCTTTGCTAGGAAGAATTTGATAAATGGATATAGTTTTTCTAGGAAGAAGTTACTGATGATTTACATAACTTGTTTATTTTTAGGTTCTCATATTTTAGCTTCAAACCTTGTATCCAAAGACTGACTTCATGTGAGTTGTAAGATTGAATTTTTACTTTGATATTTAACATTTAGTGCAGACATTTTTGCAAATACTGGATTTGATTTTTCTTTACCCATAGCAATTCCCATGGCTGACATTTATGGATCACTTTTTATGTGTTAGGCATGATAAGAGTTTTATATGCATGATCTCAGCATTCCCTAAAAGGTACAGGATTTATTATTTACATCTGTGATAATATTATTTTTTATCCCAAATGAGATAATGAAGTTTTGAGAGTTAAGCAACTTGCCTGAAGTCACAGTAAGCCTTGGAGCCAATTACCCAAAACAGACCACTTACTCAAGAGTATGTTCTTTAATACTTTCACTGCCTCACTTTGTTAAGTGGTATTTTTAATTTCAGGAAGACCATGCTGGAAATATTTTCAAGAGTAAATGCTATTTTCTTACCTTCATTGTCAGTTTAAAAAATGATAAAACTAGAGTGCTCAGACATTGTTAAACAAGGAGAAAGTAGCTTTAAGAGTTTTTTTTTAATATACGTAGGGTTTCTCTTGGGATACTCACATTATATATAGACTTCTAATTCAAAATTTTTCATTTCATCCAACATGATTTGACTGCTTGGTCTTTCATAGTTTGTAATAGTTAATTTTCTTCAATTCTTTGATGCAGGGATTTTTCCACATTGAGTAAAGAAAAGAATAAAATTGAAAATTTTATGGTAGTTTAATTATTAATTATAGGATACTGCAGAAGTAGACTACTTTTTCAGTTACGATACATATCTTGGGTTAATTTTCATTGATATAAAGAAATTCAACAGAAGCCTACTTAAATTTCTATGGTTAATAGTGAAACTACTCAGTTTGGTTTTCAAAAAGCACCTCTGTGTGGCTCTTTAAACTAGTAAGTAAGCTTATAGATAGAATCATAAAACTGGAATATCTAAACCAAGCACTGAACAAAATAGAAATAATATTTTAAATTGCTTAATGATTATAGATGGTTTATTTTTATTAAACCTTCTTGAGTAATGAATGGAAGACTTGAATCCAGTCTCAGCATTAAACTAAGTAAGATAAAGCTTAAAGTGAAAAATCACCTAATATGTGATTGTTTTTCAAACTGGGATGGGATGGTAGAGGTAGATGAGAGGCTAGCTATGGTAAATAACAAGTTTGTATTTTAATTTTGAAATTAAATGATGTGAATATTTTATTCTGTAACATTTTAGGGCTTAATATTTTTCAACATTATTAAAAGTTAATTATAGATAACTGGCTTCTACTGGTTGGGAGCCATTTTTGCCTGTCTCTTTCCCACTCAGCTTTCAGTGATATGTTGATGACTGAAATTGATCTTGGAAGCAGTTATTTACACCAGATTGGTAAATGTAGCAAATCGGGGCATTCTCCTCCCTTTGTCATCCCAGATAACCAGTTTATCAGCACATCACAATTTCAGACAGTGTGTTACATCCTTTGTAACTGTCATTTCAAAACCAGTTTTCCTTTCTGTCCTGCCCAGAGATGTATTAGGTACACTGGAAATAGCATATTAATTCTCTATCATAGCATCCAGTGTCTGAAAGCCAAACATTTTGTCTAGAAGGTATCTGAAAAATATTAAACCATGTTTAGAAAGTAAACTTAATCCCATAATCAAGAGATAGGTAGAAATATATTCCCAAATATGATTTTTATCATAGTTAAAGAGCACTAGAGTTCTGAAGACTTTTTGCCTCTATCTATGCCTCTGTCTATGCATTAAGTAGTGGACTGCGTTAGATACTGCATTTATATTTATGATCTGTAATTGTATATGAAGTACTATCACTTGATCAGGATGATCATCACTAAAGTGATGAAGACCTTCAGGCTAAATAACTTGGGTTGGTTGCTTGTAGCAGGGAAGCTAAGAAAGGTTTTTACAATCTTAAATGTGGCTATATCTTAAGTGGTTACAAAAGTAACTGTATAATAACCTTAATTTGTGTTTCTTGGACCACAAAATGTGAAATATTTATCATCTGGCCCTTTAAGAGTAAGTATGCCAAACTAAGTTTAAACAATGAAACTTAATTTTACACTGATGAAGGTATTTTCATTGACAGTATTCCTAGTATATGTTTTATTCCAGAAATATTTGTTGATTGATTCATTAATTAGGTACAAAAACATTTTAGCTATACAGGTAAGGCACCTGTTGCTCAAGAGAAGTTACTAGTTAGTAAGCAGCAAGTAAAATACTGTAACTCTGTTTTTTTCCTTTGAATCAGAACACCAAATTTACTAACAATATCAACTTAGTGTTTTGAGAATTTTCTAAAAACATTGAAATAATTTTATTATTACTAGTCTTAGGAAGTCGTACTTTGTTAAACACAGAACCATGAATAACAAGTCAAAAAGCTTTCTAGAAACTTTTATTTTTCTGTTGTGAATAACTGCTTTTTTCCAGTTACCCTGAATGATTTTATAAATTTCATTAAAAATTTTTATAATATCTGATGTGGATCCAGGAAATAACAAAAGAATAATTCCTTCCTAAAAGAAATAAAAACAGTACATATACTAAAAGGTTCTGATTAAATTTTTTATATTTTAGGTCATAATTCATTAACTAGATTATAGCTTGGCAAAAATTTTAAAGAGTTTTTTAGTGATGCATGGTGTTCCAAGACAAGGCAACATTCCAAAAAGTTACTTTTTTTTCCAAATTGCAGTACCACATATAATTGTTTGGTATGATAGCACTTTTGTTTAAGACTAAAATATAAGCTTTATGGACACTTGTAAAACCTATTGTCATAATGCCTCAGTACCTTTATTGTATTTGATTACACTCTTGTTGAAAACTGTAAATTTACATATCAAATGACACATAGGTTTTAATAAAGGTAAAAGAGAAAAAAAGCTTTTTATTTAAGGCTTTATGAAGTAGAATTTGTAATCATACCTTTTCTGGTGTTGAAAACAGGGAGTCTTAAAAAGAAGCCATGAAGAATTGTTAAAATCTTTTTTTTTCTTTTTATCTATTGTTGCAACTTCAACTAGGTATAGTGAATTAATCTGAAATGTTTTGAAATACATATTTTTTTTTTACTGGAACTTATATTAAAAAAATCACATAACACTAGGGTAGAATGTTGAAATGACTAGGGTATATCATTTTTTAAAACCTTCATTTTTGGTGAGCATAAATTTCTTTAATTATTTTTCCATTTTAGTAGGATTTCATTTTGAGGTGAAACCCATCAACTGAATATAAAGTTTTACAGTTTAGTAATCCAGAATTTCAAGTCATTTAAGATGAAAATGGAAATAAGGTTTACTTAAAATTGATTTTCTTCTTCTGTAACATCTAAGTCGTCATCATCTTCATCATCGTCATCTGCTTGTTGATCCTTTCTTAGCCGACAGGTAGCTATCTGTTAAAATTAATATTTTAAAAATAAAGATACTTATTAAAATATTTTTACATTCTTGGTATCTTTTTATATGCCCTTACCAAGGGTACATAGAAATTTATCATATATGAAATTAACCATTTAATTCTGGTTAGATAGCTACCAGTAAGTAGTAACAAAATATGGACTCACAAAATATGGACTCGGTATATTATGAATAAAAAAAAATTCTTGGGTTGCAAAAACAGCATTAGTAAATCATCAAAAGGATGGCAAAAACAGAAGGATATTTCACCTAGGCATGTCACAGAAATACTGATATAAAAATAGTGGGACTTAAATGGAATGAATTGAGAATCTGAATTCACCAGCTTACGTTCGGCATGTGCTTTTAACCCTTTCTAAGGGTGATTATAACTCCTAAAGGGTTATTATAACTCCTAGTGGACACTTCTGGTTGTTTCAACTGTTAATATTTTTTGTGCATCTTGTGGGTAGAGGCTAGGGATGCTGTTTAATTAATATCTTTACATTGATAGGATAGTATAACCCTTCTCCTAAGTTACGTGGTCCCAAGTCAATAGAGCTAATGTTGAAAATCCTAGGATAATGTACTATGCAAACATAAGTTAACTTAGGTAATATTTAACTAGTTTCAAATAGTCAAAACTTTATATGTAATATAATGACTAAGTTTATGGAATATATGTGCAAAGCACACATTAATGCTGAGAGAGTAAAATATAATTTGGTTGAGGGAAGAAATATGTAATTATAAAGCAGAAAATGAATGCTTAGAAGAGAATCAAATAAAAATAGAAGGTATTTAGTCAGATTTCTATTTTCATCTAAAAGTTGTACTTGGAAAATATTTTGTTCAGTTTTAAATTGTGAAGGCTAGATACAGAAAGGTCAGAGCTCTCTAGACTATAGTTTGGCATGCTATCCTCGGTCCAGTTACTCTTGGCTTTCTGGATGTTAGAAGAAAAAAGAAAACTGGCTCTTTTTTTTTTCTCTAAAGAGCTGTATTGCTGGAGTCATGAAAATGTTCAGTGTAATTCATTTTGTAATTCATTTTTTGGGTAAATCTAAGTGACAGCGAGATTTAAACTGAATTTACAATCTATGCTCTTCATACCAGACAACAAATCTACATTAGCATTCTTCTGTCTTTTCATCTCTGCTCTCAAAGAGTTCTGTTTCAGAGAATAATGTGTGACTATAGAAGATAAGAAATAACAGAGTGTAGTTTTCTGTCCTTTACAAAACAGAAAATAGCTCCTGATAGAGTAAAGTATATGACTGAACGGAAACATTTTAAATACAGAAAAGCTCCAAAGGCAGAAACTTGGATTTAAATGGTTTTTAGCTTACCTGTCCTGTTCCAGATACACACTTAGTAGACAGTGATCTCTGCAAAGGTGATTTTGAATTTGCTCTTACAATATCTAAACGAGATGAATAATCTTGTGGATACAGAGAATTTCGGAAAACCTATTGCAAAGATAAAATAGTATTTTTATAAAGGAGATACTAAATGAAAATCTAGACAGTCAAGTTAATCAAGATTTTTTAAAGCATACCCTTCATGGACAAAATTTGAATTATTGTGAGTTTAAGACGATAGTCTCTATCCACTGGAACTGTGTACAGTGAAGGGGGATATAGGCAATAATTCTGGTCTTCAAAGAGTATGCAAGCTAGTAAGGCAGTTGTAGCTCGAATACCTTTGATTCTTTTTGCTCTGCCTTTTCTTGACTCATCAATTTAACTGGAGCCACTATTAATTCATGGATTCCAATCTCATTAGGATCTGGAATGCCATGACCTGTCAGTTTTTATTCCCTTAAGAGAGTATTTTCAAATCTTAGCACTCTACTAAACTTAGGATCCTATCTCTGGTTTTTTCTTTCCCCATAGCTCTAACATACTATCTCTGGTTTTTTCTCTCCCCATAGCTCTAACATACAGACTAACAAGTGTGAATTTCTTCAACTTCCCTTTTTCTTCAAACTCTTCAATGTATCCTTATTTTAAAAAGCAAGCATCCTGATCCTTTCCAATGTGTATTTTTTCTTTAGAACTTTAAATGTACAAACAAAAATTTTGTTCATTTTTCAAAGGTTTCCTTTAGAAAATGAGCTCCAGATATATATTTTTTTAAACTTCAAGGTACAGTGTTACTTCTTAAATTTTTCTAAAATATTCTACTTCATCTCTATTTTTTAGCAAACTACAATAGGGCTTTCACTTTCCACAAAAATCCCTTACCAAAATCACCAAAATCTTTGTCTTCCCTGTCCAATCCTGAAACTTTTCTTTTCCATGGCATTAGAAATCTCTTTTATTGTGCTAGCTGGCTAGATTTTTGAAAGCTAGATTTATTCATATCTCCTTTCTATTGCTTATGCCCTTTCCCTTAGGCTATTCTTTTAAAAAAATGTTTCTCTGAAAGAACTTATCTTACCTTCAATTAATTCTCTGTGTACTCCACATACTCTTTTGATAACCACATTTCATTCTCCCAAATTTGTTTTTGACTAGCACTGTCAAATAGAATTTTCTGATTTGATGGAAATATTTGATGTTCTGTACTGTCCTAAAAGATGGCTACTGGTCATGTGTGGCTACTAAGCACCTGATATGTTTATGTGGCTGAGGAGCTGAATTTACACTTTAACTTATATAACCTTAAATAAGCCATTTATACCTAGTAGCTTATTATATTGGGCAGTGCAGCTCTAGACTTAATTTTATTGTGAAAGGCATTAGCCTTTCTATATATCTATATTACCTAGTAGACCAAGCTATAAGCCTTTCTCCCTAAATTTGTTACCTGAGGTACTTTTAATTTTACAGACTATAGAATTTTCTTTATAGCTTACTTAGATTTGCCTTAAGACCAAAAGTATATTATTTATTTTTTTAATATTTATTTTTTTTAGTTGATGTTGGACACAATATCTTTATGTATACGTGGTGCTGATGATTGAACCCAGAGCCTCATACGTGCTAGACAAACATTCTACACTGAACCACAACCCCAGCCCCATATTATTTCTGTATTAAAAAATAAATATTTTGTGGTGGTTGACTCTGGTAGTACCAGAGACCAAATACCTTAGGTGACATCCAAGGCTTAATAAACTTACCTACCATTCATCACTTGTAGTTTACATACTTATATGGAGAACATATATAATGTTATACTGTGCCTTTGCAATTCCTCAGCTTGGGATCCCGACAAATTCATCTTTCAAGAGCCAAGTCAAATGCTTTCCCCTGTTTTCTGATCAGTAGCTCCTACTGTTCTTATTCTCAAGAATATAGTTATGTCTGTTTTTAATGGATTAAGTATTTGTTGCCACAACTACTGCAGGAAATGTTTTCTTTTTGCAAGTCCTCCCAATAGATAATTTATGAACTTAAACCCCACTTTGTAGGGAAAAGGAGACCCAAATCAAGTGATTTCGGTACACATTCCTTTAAACCTTTGCCACAACTACAGTAGGAAACGCTGTTTTCTTTTTGCAAGTCCTCCCAATAGATAATTTAATTCACTTTTGCCTAAAGAATGATTTAATATGAACTTAAACCCCATTTTGTGGGGAGAGAAAAAGGAGACCCAAATCAAGTGATTTCTGTACACATTCCTTTAAACCTTTAAGAACTGCAAGACACAAAAGGAAACTTAGAAGACAAAACTTGTATTTGGGGGCAATTCTGGGATACTAATTAGGGTAGCAGGTTTCTAAGGACTAAATTCTATTTTGATGCCAGACAGAACACTGGTGTCCAGGTATGATATAAAAACTGGATAACTTATTAATCAATTGATATTTTTTATTTGAACATTTTAAACGTCTAGCAAAGATTGAAATAAGCAGAAAATGGAAAACATGGAACTTTTAGAATAAGCTTAAAACAGTTAAATATTTATTACAATTAATCTTTTGCAAAACAACAAATCTGCTGTTGAACAGATCAACAGAAAGATTAATTTATTGGCAATAGTGCATTTTCCAACATGATCCAAGATCTCTTCTAGGTGTGGATCTCAAGATCTGAAATGATTGCATAGAAGTGATTTTTGAAGGGGAAAACATTTGAAGGGGCCCAACATTACTTATGTGAAGAACAAATAAGGTAAGATAGTTTAAATGTAATCAGGGTGCCTAACTGCAAAAAGTTGACTGATGCTGAAGTATCATCTCAGTGGTTCTCAGAGAACATGGACTACATGGAAGAACAGTGAATTATTTCTCTGTCCCTCCCTGTGTATTTTCTGTATTTCCAAGAATCCTTGTATTTATAGGGTCCTTATCCTCTTGGGACCTACTTACTGCTTTTGGTTTATTGAAGAAGTGCTTTCCCCTGTACTGTGAACTATTTAAAATACACTGCTCTATATTCACAGCAGCTTGCCCCAGGACTTTTTTTGTCAGTCATCCTCCTTATCTCTCAAGTCTTTGATTCTGGAAACTATTTGGAATGCTATTATCTCATACAGCATTTTTTTAATGGAATTTTAAAACTTAAACAGCTACATAGTATTTTTTTTTTTAATGTTTGAACTTCCTGGTATATTTTAAATTCCTGCTTTGATCAGTTAGACAATTTTTCACAATATTAAATCCTCAGCACTTAGAATGATGCCTGTTATAGGTGCTCAATAAACACAGGTGCTCAATAAACTGGGAGAGGGATCTTGGAAGCTTAGCCCTGGTTTCTTCCAGGTTTTGCCTCTTTCACCTTCTCCCCATATTGATTTTACTTTATTTATTTATGTGCTTTTTGCTGTAATAAATCATATCTTGAGTACCACTAAAAACATATCTACCACACACCCTGGGACCTTTAGTTTTCATGGATCTGTCTCCCATAGACTGATTAAGAGGTGATTAAGAGTACTGGTAAGAGGAATTACAAAGGAAGCTCCTGAATGAGAGGGAAAAGTCTTAGGGAACAAAGGACTTCAAGAAACTTTAGAATCAGTTCACAAGTGGAATATGAAAGTTATTAGAAAAAGACTGAAAGTGTAGGGGATCATTTTTAACCTGCCCCTTAGTAAAGTGTTGTTTCTTGCAAGAAATGATTCATGTGATTCACCCAAAATCATACTTTTGGTAGTATGGTGTAGAGGATTAAAACAGCTTTGTAATCAGACCTCTGAATTTGACCCCCAGCTCTGCTACTTAACAAGCTATGGGATCTCTGGGAAGTTTTTCATTGTGATTTGGTTTTCTCATCCATAGAAATGAAGATGGGAAGAAGATTAAAATAACTAGCATAGCCAAAATGTATGAATCAGCCCAAAGTAATCACTATAGAAACATTTGCTATTTTATAAATGACAGATAAAAACTTAATCTCTTTGAAAACAACATGAAAAGGAGTGACAAAATTTAGTATTTAAAGCAGGTTACACTTACGAGGTCATCTGTTAACAAATGATATAACTATGATCACATATGCATAACTGACATAAAATCAGAAACAAACATAATAAACATGCACCCTTCTTCATTTTAGTTTCCTGGAAACAGTTGAGTAATCAGATAAGAAGGCTTAGAGGATATGTTTATGGATAGTTAAGAATATTTTAAAAAGATGGGGAGGGAGGGTAGTCTGCAGAATCTGCAAATGGGAGACACTCCCAAATCAGCCAGCCATTTATTAATACAGAATTCTGGTTAACTTGAATATTTTCTCTCATTAGCAAAAACCCTTTCAAGCCATTTTTTTTTTTTTTCTCCTTTGGATAGATAAGGTAGGGTATTTGCTCTTTGGGTGTGCTTACTGAAGTCCAGGCTTTGATACTTACTGATTGGCCAATGTTAATTGTTAATTGGACAGTCAGAATTATTTGCATTTAAGTAAAACTCCTGTCAGCAAGCCTGCATAAAAACCTAAATTTATTTCATGGCTTAGTAATTTACCCAAAGCCAATTGGAATTCAGATCTTGGTATTTATTAGCGAAGTGGTCACAGATAATGAACTTAAAGCCTCTAAGCCTGCTTCTGTAGTTGTAAAATGAGACTAAAAAGCAACTATCTCATAGGTTTGTGAGAGGATTGAATAAGAAAATAAATGAAAAGCTTTGGGTATCATGTATGGCATAAATATTCAAAATGTTGCTCAAATCAATGTTAAGTACATGTTAGTATTTATATCACCAGAGAAAATGCACAATTTTTATTTCATGTAATAGTTTGATGTAGATTATGTTTTACTATAAATTGTCTTGGAACTTTACTATGGTTAATTTGAAAAGTTAAAAAATAACTGGAAAAATGAGAAAAGTCATGTGTTTGGGACTGCACATAATAATCACCATTGTAGTGTTCGAACTTTTAAGATATTTTTACTTATACAAACTAATATTCTCTTTGAAACATTTTCATATTAACAGAACCATATTAGACATAGTCCTACCTCTAGATCTTCATCCTCATCAATCTTTTGTATATTCTGGTAGGCAGCAGTATAGACCTCTAAAGCTTTGCCATGAAATAACATTTCAATTGTGATAAATTCTGAAAATATATTCTAGAAAAACAAAGATTTGTATTTAGTCATTTCAATTGTTTTATGAATGTAGTTAAAAGTACTTATTCCCCTCTACAGTCTTTACATTTTATGAAAGACAAAGGTATCTTGTTTTTCTACAAGACAAAGTACAAAAGATAAACCAAAATAGATTTCATTTGTAAACACCTTTTATGGCAGAACCTTAAAATTATACAAAATGTTTACTGGTCATACTCTATCAGTTATCTTTATACCTGGTAATTGACAGCTATGAAAATAAAGATCTGACTAAAATGTATGCCAGCAAGTTCTCTGGTACATGCCTTTAAGTATTCCAGTTAAGTTTTGAAGCTGGTATTTTAGTAACTCCAACTGATGTTGAAAAAACAAAACAAAACAAAAAACAAAAACTGTATTCTGGGATAAGAGATTGTTAATTATGACCAACAATGACTCTTATTGCACTTATTATATAGGTCACAGAGGGCTTTGGTATACTGACCTAGCAACTGACTTTTATAAACGGCATGATGCTAAGTTATAGTTTTGGATTAGACTCGCCAGATACCCAAGGATGCCTTAGAGGTGGAATAGCTTCTGACCAGGACAGACTTTCTTAATTGCTTATCTCCCTAAGATAATTGCTAACCAGTTAGGAATCAAGTGCCTTTAAGAGTGTGGAAACTCCTACAGGGAAAACCGGAGAGTGAAAGAGACAAGCCATATCACCTGTTCAAGAAGTAAATCGGCTAAATTAGAAAGTATTATTTACCAACTAATATTAGAGCTTCCAGCAAGATGTTTAGTGGAGTAAGATATTTCACTACATATTTTTGTTTAATAAAATTGATTTTTGAACACTATAAATGTATGATCTGCAGAAAAAAATTAAAATAAAAATTAGCATTTTCTTTTTAAAAAAATATTAACAGGCAAGCAAGGGGAAATGAAAACTTAGAGTAGATGCTCTTCAAGAAAGGATGACAACAGATCTTTCTATCAAAAGGAAAAAGTTATATATCTACCTCATAATTACAAGAAAAATATTTAACAATATTCTAAAAACGCAAAAGTAGAAAACATAAGCAAATATGTTGGGGACAGCAACAGTTCTAGTATGACACCAAGGCAGAAACCAAAACCACCAATAGACTTAGCAACAAAAACAAAGGTTTAAGGTGGCAGAAATGCCATAAGCAGTAAAAGTGAAATATATTTGCAACACATCTCTTTAGAGTTAATTTTCTTAATGTAAAGAGTTGTTTCAAAAAAGGGCAGCATCCCCTAAAGAAATAGTTTATCATTAGACACATGAAAAAGTACTTAATGCTTTAACAGTACTAATGAAATTATAATACTGATTTTTTTTTATTTACCCATCAGCTGCATGTATGTTTATGCAAAGTCTAATAGGAAAAGAAACTGTTCAATCTTTGCAGACATAAGGTTTAAAAATTGTTATTACAATTAGTGTGTGTGTTCTTTGAACCAGGAACTCCACTTCTGGCAACTTATCCCAAGAGAATAACTGGACCAGAACAAAGGTTGAAAAAAGCCATCTGCAATTGCAAAATAACCTAGATGTTCATTAAGCCTGGTTAAATTAATATCCATATTACAAAATACTGAGTAAATCAAAGGGGAATGACACGGATCTCTACTTTTTACCATGAATGTGTCCACAATAACTTTTATATTTATTATAATAGTGTCTTCCCTCATAAGTATGTTGTGAGGAATAAATGAGTTTATTTACATAAAATGGTACCTGCTATATAGTCAGTGCCCAAGAGATGTGTGTTATTAAATCTTATTTACTAATCTCCGGTATATGTGTATAGGATCAAGTGTGGAAAGATCTAAACCAAAATGCTAGCATTATTTTTTGAATGCTGAGATTCTTGTTTGTCTCTATAATTTTATGGAAAAATCATGATATTATGTTTATAATAAAAGGAAGCTATTAAAATTTGTTTCTTGCTCACATCAACTACTTCACCATATACGGAAAACTACAAATATAATTTAAAGATGTAAAGGAAAATTTAACAGTCTAACTATTCCATATTCATGGTTTAGAAGAATCAGTCTTAAGATGTTATTCCCAAAATGATGTATAGATTTGATGCAATATTTATTAAAATTTCAGCTGACTTTTTGGGAAAATTGACCGATTCTACAATTAATACAGCTCCAGAATAGATAAATCAATCTAAAAAGAAAATAGAAGACTCACACAACCTGGTCTTAGAACTTACCACAAAGCAATGTTAAGACAGTGTGGTACTGCATAGGATAATTTCAGACCAATGAGAGAAAGAGTCCAGAAGTAAAAACATCTAATTTTCAACAAGGATATGACCATTCAATGGCGAAAGAGTGATCTCTTTAACAAATGATAGTATGACAATTGGGTAATCTAATGCAAAAGAATGAAATTCAGTCTTTAGTGCACACCATTTACAAGAATTAAATGGATAAAAGACTCAAATACTCTTGTATTAAGAACTAAAACTATTAGAAGAAAACAAGGATCACAGATTTAGTAACAAAGTCTTAGCAACAAATCAAAATAAGCTGGACTTCATCACAAGTTAAAAACTTGTGCTTCACACGACACCATTAAGATAGTGAATAAGCTACTGAATGGGAGAAAATTTCAAATTTTTATAAGGAACTTTTATCCAGAATACACTAAAAAGCCCTTACAACTCAAAAATGTAACCCAATTATAAAAAATATTAAAATATGGGGAAAATATCAAAATAGCCATTTATTTTTTTACACCCAGTAGTAGTATAGCTTCGATCAAGAAGCCTGATGAATAGGAAGTACTGAAATTAGAAACCACATATGCTGCTAGTGGGGGTGTACAATGGTGCAGGTGCTTTGGAAAAGTCTGGCTACTCAGTTACTATATGATTCGATAGTTCCACCCCTAGGTATGTATGCAAGAAAAAATGTCCACAAAAACCTGGGCATGAATTTTTATTTACATCAGCATTAATAATCTTAATAGCCAAAGGGTAGAAACAATCCAAACATTTACTAACTGATGAATGGATAAACAAAACATCCATATAATAAATGGAATGTTATTTGGCCATAAAAGAGGTACTGATGCATGCTCCAACATGGATAAGCCTTGGAAGCATGATAAGTGAAATAGTCACAAAATACTATGCATGATTCCAATCCATAGACACATAAGATATGGACTACTTAAGTGTGGGAGGTAGGCAGGAATTTAGAAGCTGACAGTCCAAGGTTGAGGTGATGAAAATATTCTCAAATTGGTGATTGCCCCAAACACAAAATCAGTAAATTTATACTTGGAATTTGGAACTGGGATTGAATGCAAGGCGCTGTGCCACTGAGCTGAGTCCCCAGGTCACACTGGCTTGTTCACTTGCGCGCTCTCTTTTTTTTTTTTTTGAGACAACTAAGTTTTGAGGCTGAACTCAAACTTTTGATCTTGTCTGAGACACTGGGAATACTGGCATGTGCCACTGTGTCTGGCTTATCTCAACTTTTTAAAGGTGAAGGTTTCTTCCTGTACCTCATCCCAGAACCATCAGAGGACTTTCTGTTTTTAGGGGCATGATACTGCAGGCAAGGAGAAGGTATTGGAAGCTCTTTGTACAGCCCCTCCATTTCCCGTTTCAGGAAATCCCAGTAGCAGGCATTTTCTCTGGAAATTCTGCACTCTCATCCTCTGTGCCTCAATAGTTAACTTGGTGATGCTCAAAGAATTAACACTTGTAGAGTTAGCAAGCATACAGGTGGAACACAAAGTGAGCTCAAAAATCAGAGATGAATTTCCATGTGTAAAAATGTTTTGCAGGCACAAGGAAGAGTCAGTGGTGGAGGGAGAAACTCAATTCGCATTACTAACTAAGGAAGCCCTTAGGCAGCAGTGGAATCAGGCATACCTCCGTAGTGTCCATTCTCATTTTTCATGTGAAAGATAACTATCTAAAAAAGCCTTGTTCCTCTAGTTCCCGTGAGAGGATATTAATTGTAGGACTTCATGCCTCCCCCCCACCCCTTTATTCTCTCAGCTTGGTAAAAGCATTTTTCTCAGGGCAGCCTCCTTAGATTCTTACATAGCAGAGTGCAAAGCCTGTGACTGAATTGAGAAAGTAAAGTTCTGAAATCCTTTTGAAATTATGATAGGAAAGGAAATTAAAGATGCAAATGAGTATTGTTTCACGGATTTCAGAGAGGCATTATATAATTAACTGGCAAATAATGTTTATTTTATTGATAAGATTATACCTTATAAAAGTAGGAAAGCTTCTTTCTGGTAATAAGTGGGGAGAAAAATTTTAAAACTTGCTACTGGAAAATTTTCAGTGACCCAAAAAGACATCCTTAGGTGAATTTTTTAAAGTATATAGTTATAATCAGTCCTTCTTTCCAAGATACATAAACAAAAAGCCACCAAAGACCTGTTGAATTTCATGATCCTGTAAAAAGGTTTCTGTCTAATGATGTGTTACAAGAAATAAGGCAATGATTGTGATTTTGTTAACTAAAACATCTTATTGTGGTGGTGGATGAAAATTTATATGGTTGGCTATTACCCTATTATTTGATAATAGCTATTAGAAAGCCTTGTGTAATAGATATTAATGATAGTGTTTTACAATGGAAACCACAGATTTTTTAAAAAACCCGGTTTATAGCTTGTTTCTGTCTATGGTACTCTGGCGAAGTTGTACCTCTGCTTAATTATTTTTTTTTTTTTAATTTTTGTATATTGTGGATTGAACCCTGGGGCTACATTCCCAGCCCTTTTTAAATTTTTTTATTTTGAGATAGGGTCTCACTAAGTTGTTAAATTTGCTAAGGCTGGCCTCAAACTCGGGATCTTCCTGCCTCAGCCTCCTGAGATACTGTGATTACAGGCTCTCTGCTTAATTTCTTAATAACACCACCCATTCTTGTGGGGCTATTGTGAAGATTGAAAGATAATTTACATATCAAATGCCATCTGATACATAAAAACATACTGTTAGTTTCCCTGAAACAGTCTTTGGGATAAAAAGTTGAATGTCTAATCTCTGGTTGAAATGCAGCTCCTTTGCCTACCATTATTTTCACATTATATGTTTTGATCTATAACATCTTTTTTCATAGAGAGTATGGTCTAAAAAAATCAGTAATTTTTCATTAGTTTGAAAAAATAAGGTTAGAAAACTTTTTTTGAAACTTAATTCTTAATTACCTTTATATCCTTGATTTTCTGTTTTTCAAAATTGTCAATAGTTTCCTCCAGATGACGAGTTGTTCGGGTAGCATCCATTGTTGCTCTCTGTAATTCAGATTCTGCCTGTAGAAGTATTCCCCAACCAAAGATATAAAAATCAAATCAATATCCATTCTGTTGAGTCTATTCGTGTTACTAATGTAGTATTGGCTTTTGACATAATAGTATAAATTTTTAAATATTATATTTTACCACATACAATAAAATGATTTATATAATAAGACATGTAGAATAAAGAATTTTGAATCTATTAAGTGACATGATTCATGATTTCAAACAAAAATCCTTCCCTTCTATAAAAATCATCTTTTTCCTATCACTCTAGAAAGATTTACTGTGAGACTACTTTCTGTTTTCTAATACTTGTATTTCACTACTTATAACATTTATCATTCTTATCCTTTATTTTCTCTCTTCCCCTTACCACTTTTTTAAGAAAGGACTTCGGATTTATTAGTAAGTATTTTCAATTCTCATGTATTATCTCAATTTATAAAACACAATAAAGTTTATCTCATAGGACTATTTATTGTATGGATTTGATGGAATCATCTTTCTATAGGACTAAGAGAAACACACAGTAGAAGGACCTGTTGCTATGTCAGTTTCCATAACTGAGTCTAATTTTTTTCTTTTCTTTCCTTCCTTCCTTCCACAACTGGGAGTCTAATTTTCTTTTCCTGTCTTTCTTTCCCTCCTTCCCTTTCTCCCTCTCTCCCTTCCTCCCTCCCTATCAATTATCTATCATAATTGAAATATTTAAGGTCAGCAAGTATATATCTAAAGTCTCTTACTATACCACCTTGCTTAGGTTTAATAGTTCTTCAAATGTTCTAATTTTATAATATTCTTAATCCAGTGGAACAGTATATACCCTACAAATATCTCAGATACTAAGATTACACTATTTCTATGTAGCATATACATATTAAAAAATTTGTACACTAATAACTAATTTAATGCTTTGCTTTATGTATGCTGAAATGTACTACAACTATCTTGATATGTGCTGTGTAGTCAATATGGTGACCACTCGTTGCATATAGCTATTTACATTTAAATTAATTAAACTTAAATACAAATGTGGAAACTGGTTCCTAGGGTATTCTAGTTGCACTTCAAGAACTCAACAGTCATATGCAGTGACAAAGTACTGTTGAATGCTGAACATTTCCAATTTAATCATGTACTTCTTTTTAAAATTGGTGCATTAAAATTATACATAACAGTGAGATTTGTTGTTACATATTAGTATGTGTACATAACGTAGTTTGTTCAGTTTTCATATCTGTTTCTTTAAACATCTCTTTCAATAGTTGCCCAAACACATTTAAGTTGTTTTCTTCAACAATAACAGAGATTTTTAAAGTCATAGACCAATTTTCTGATTAAATTCTAATCAAGTTGTTTCTTATGCTAGAATTATATTTGCTAAAAAGTCTCACATATAATCATTTAATAACTGGGGAAAATTTGCATTTGTCATTAAATTTCTATGATATGTCATATTGTGACATTTAGCCATTGGTTTCTTTTTTAAGGAAATGTATAAATTGAAATAAGTAAAAGGGTTTACTATAAGGATCCATTTCTTGATACACCACTTTATTACCCACCTGTGACTGGAATTTTTCATAAAGGAAAAAATACATTTCAAAGAGAACAATTTTTTCAGTAAACTAAACTCATGTATTCTTACAGAACTATATACTTAGCTACACAATTTCAAGATACCAAACACTAAAAAATGAATTCATTTATATCTGTGTATACATTTATCATATGGAATGTAAAGTCTAACCACAGAAACTCTCAGCTTAATCATACTGGTATTAAATATATATATAAACACACATATATATATATTTTTTGCTTTGGAGTTTGTCATCACAGAAATGTAATATAGAACTGTTTTGGAGATTTATAATGAAAAAAAATCAGCATTTGATGTCAATGTTTTGCTGAGAATATTCAAGCAAATTAATTCCTAATACTATTAAATATAACTGATTCAGTTCTTGTGACTATTTCCTTTTGATTCATGTCTTTTTCATTCCCAATTATTGATATTGTCACCTTAAAACATATAAGTATATGTAGAGTTCATTAAACTAGGAAAGCATTGGGGACAGTAGCCATAGCTGGGACCTCTATCTTAACTTACCATCCTTCAGCAACTTGTATTCATTTTTGAAAGTCTGAAATAAATTTGATTGAGCATAATAACTCATCCAGAGTCTCACAGCTAGTTTTAGGAAAGTGAATATAGATTTTTTAATATTTCTTCCTTTCACTGAAAATTCTTCAAAATTCTCATGTATACCAATTTGAGTAGAATATGCTATTAAAGTATTAAGATACAGCTATCATTATATTAAAGGAATCAGTCAAGAGTTTCAGATAATTATAAAAGGGGGAGCCAGATTGGTGTTTTTCAAACTTTGTTACAGAAAGCTTGTTCCAAAGTCACCTGGGGCTGGCCTTAGTAGTGAGCTGGCAAAGATCTAGGATTCATTATCTTTTTTTTTTTTTTTGTGTGTGTGTGTGTGGTACTGGAGATTGAACCCAGGGCCTTGTGCCTAGGAGGCAAGCACTCTACTGATTGAGCTATATATATCTGTAGCCAGGATTCATTATCTTTATTAGAGGGACTTCATTTTATTTTACATATTGAACTTTAGAATACTTCTGAACAAAGAGTCAGTTGAATTTTAAGGATGTATCCTGGTAAAAATACTATGATGCTGTGATTGAATATTTTTATATTTTTGTTGAATACATTTATCTGTAGATTGCATTTATTTTTCTAGTCTCAGGTTGTCAAAATACGTAAGTTGTAGATCTTGGCAGTGAGCAAATCAATTCACCTATAACAATAATCTTTTCTATTGTTGCTTTTAATTCTTCCCATACAGAACACTTAAGTCAGAAAAAAATCTTCATCTAGAAATGCTTTCATTTCTGTATTGAGTATCAATACTATTATTCCTGTTTTAATTGCCAGTTGCTTGGGATTCCAGGTGTTATATTTGACCTGTCTTCATATAGCCCTCCCTGCCAAGAACAAAACAAAGAAAATATTGATATCTAGCTTAATTCTTAAATACTGGTGCTCTTGCCTGGCTTCTGACTTGATTTCTAGGTGTCAGTCATGAATTTTCCAGCATTCTCTGGTTTGACTTGCTTAAAATGGATTCTATAATCTCTAGTTTGAGATCTTAAGCCTCAACAATTGTCTAGATGTTCTTATCAGAGCCTCCAAAGGGTACTCCCAGCCCTTAGGCTGCCCATTTTTCTTAAGTATAAGGTTGGGCTTATGTACCTTTGGTCCATGGGAAGAAGGACCAGGCAACTGGCGCAGCCCCAGATCACTGTTCGAGGGACTCCCCTCAGGAATGGAAGTGTTCTGGAACCTCAAATGCCCCCAAAGAGCCATTCCTCATGTGGTTTCTGGCTGAGCGGAGTAGTAACAACCTTAAGGAAGTAGGAAGGAGACACATAAGGAATGGGAAAGAGAGGCAGCAGGGATAAGTTAGTGTTTTCTACACAGTCCTACCAATCCTCATTGCTAGCACTTAGCAATTATTTTATGTTTTTATTAGTCATGAACAAGGTACATTTTAGTTTAGGAAATAGTAATGTTTACTATAAGGACCTTGTTTCAGCAGATACTCCTATTTAGATTCTTTTGTGTCCATCTGTGGACCTCAGTATACTCTCTGAAACTCCTGAGGGTATTTGGCTGAAAGTCATAATTATGGTTTCAACGTGAGTTACTTTTTAAAGGATGAAAGGAATTATTATAGGATTTTTTCTTTCCTCTTTTCAAAAGTGGGACAGAAAGGCATTGATATATTAGCAGTAATGATAGGTCTTTAATTTTATAATTAATGTTTAGTAATCACCATGGAAAAACAACTCAAAAATTTGAATTTACTCTGAAAACATCTGCATTTATGAGTGGGTTGGTTGTTTGTGGAAACAATATAAGGGAATTGAGTTAGGTGGTATAATCTCTTTACAATGAGCTAATTTCTATAGTGAGAACTTCTAAATACAGTTTTTTTTTCATTTTCAGCATTATATTAAAAGTCTCCACAATTTAAAACTATAAATGAATAATTTCCATACACATTTACTTTTGTACTGCATACCTTACAAAACACTTTTTTAAGACCAAAATTCAAAGGATACAATTATATGTCGATCAGATGGGTTTCGTTGCCGTGTTCTTTCTAATTGACTTAACTGCTTAGCTTCTCGATTCTTTGCTGTTAGTGTTGCTTTCAGGTCATCCTGCAAATAAGCATTTTTTGTTAATTTCTGATTTAATAAATAAGACACATTGTTTTATGAAAGGAAGAATGCTTTTATTTTCATTCAGGCACCATTATCATAGTTATCATTATTGCAGGAGGTGTGTCAGAAAAAGGGAGAGAAAGAGCATGCATGTTTCTTTAAAAATCTCTCAAAATAATGACACTCAATGCAAAGCTACAACCATACAATATATTTACATATATACTTTTGATTGTGGTGGTGGTTACACAGGCATACACATTTGAACACTTACAAAGGAAGGAATTTTATTACATGTAAATTATATATTGATTTTAAAAACAGAACTTTTTGTCACATTCATTTTAAAAATACAAGTGTCATATCTGCTTTGAAAAAATATATAAACAAAAATAAACATTCATCTAATAAAACAATTTCTGTCCATACAGTCTTCATGACTATAAATATTAAATATGTTTAAACATCCATAGTAATGTCTTATGCTGCTACAGTAGTATACTTAGTTAGTAAGCTCACTAAAAATATTTCATTATTTTTAAATATCCAAAAATTATCTTTCAGAGTATGGAAACAGAATGATTCCATGTAATTTGTATTTTATATTAAAAGGAGAGTTGGAAACCTCATGCCCTTTGCCAGAATACCTAATAATAGGATAAGAAAATAGATTTACTTACCCGTTTCATTTTTACAATGGTTCCATAAGCTTTCAAAGGTTCAACTACTTTGGCTTCAAGTCTTTCAACCTATTGAAAATTATTATAAAATATAACTGAAAAGAAACTTATAAAGATATCAAATTTTAAATGCTGAAATAAAATGTTGTTTATTTTGAAATAATCACTGTACAGATTAATTTTTAAATTTTAAATTAAAAGTCACTTTTTAACCCATCTTTTGAGTAAAAGGATACTCACCAGAAATTGGTAAGACAGAATATAAACTCAAATACGTTAAAAACTGGTAAGCTCTACAGTAACAGTAAAAGTAGAAAGACAAAAAAAAAAAAAAAAAGTCTGAGATTTCTAAGGAGCTTAGTGTTAGTAGTAGTTTTCAGGTACCTTTCAAGACATCTCAAATTTAATACAGCCACCATTTTCAGTTGTTTAGCATATAATGTTAGACTAAATATTCAGATATTAGATCTTTCCAGAAAATTGAAGCTGAAAGATCTAGCATACTGAAAACAAGCCTCAAAAGCAAAAATGCTTAGGGATTACAATATTAGCTGCAACTTTTTTCTGACGACCATTTGTGAATTATCAAACCCTAGATCACAAGTGGTCTGTATTGCTGATGAAAGTATATTGCTGTATTTTTTTTACCCAGAATTAATCAGTTTTCCTTAAACATAGTTATAATAACAAAGTAATTTAAATGATTTTTTTACTAATAAAATTAGTAGAAGGAACTGAAGAAACTTTTTCAAAATAGACAAGTGCATATATAAATATAGCATAAGAAAAAAGAAATTTTATGTCAGAACAGGTAATGCAAATGACATTTTTTTAATTGCTAAAAATGAATACATATTTTTATGGCAGGGAAAGCTTTTTTTGATACATATTTATATAATGTAAGATCATTTCATATTGATTTTCCTTTAGTTTTTGAAAACCAAATGTTATAAAATGTTTCATTTAATATTTTAGAAAATATTAATATTTTAGGAAAATGAAGAAAAACAATCAAGTTCTCACCTAACTTTTAAATATTTGGAATCCCAAAGTCAAAACCATGAATAATCAGGAGAGTTTAGTCTATATCATTTCTTATAATTCATATACTGACTCTATAGTATAAGGATTACCATATTGTTTTTTTTTCTGTTCTCCTTTCTGTTGCCTACCTTTTGTCATTAGCACCTCCACCATTTGGTAAGCAAGGAAAATAAAAGGAGAACAAATGTAAATCAATTCACTTTGCTATTTGATAATAGCATTAATCTAGAAAAGGGGGAAATTATTGGCTACAATAAGATTTTATAATTACCTGTGATTGTAAATTAGTTTTGAAACAAATGCCCAGTTGTGTATTCATGTATAACTGAGAAATGTCTATGACAAGAACTCAACATTTTCCTAAAAGGTACCGGAGAGTTTTTTACTCAAATTTTTGTATGTATAATAATGATGGGTTCAAATATTAGTGTTCGTTTTATTTTTTGGTAACTGAAATTTTTTTTAGGCTTTAAAAAAAGAACCAAAAGCACTGATAAAAAGCAATGGAGTTCTAACTGGGCAACTTCTGACAAGGCAACTTGAGTCTTGAAACAAAATAAATACAAGTGAAAGCACTTATGAAATATTAAAGGGATAAAAAATTAGAAAGAAAACAATCACAAGTTCCTGGCCACTCAAAGCAAAGCAAAACAAACCAACCAACCTCACCTCACAGTGTCTCACTATGTTATAAATCATAGCCTTGCCATTGGTCAGTTATAGATCATGAAAACATCAGTAATAGCTTGCGCATTTAGTAACCGTTCAGCCATTCACATTGCCATTCTCAACATTTTCCATCTTCGTCATACTTTTAAATGTACTTAAGTGCACACAAAACACAAGTCGTGATTTTTTTCCCCATAAGCACTAGGTTTAAAACCCTCTGTACAAGGGCTCCCCTTCACCAAAGCTGGCAAATGGGAAAGACTTCAAATACACCCTAAATTTTAGTTCGAAACGGTAAATCACAAAAAAGCTTCCCTTTAGTAGACTAACACAATGTTGAAGACAAGAAAATATGCATTTATCATCAAGTGTGCGTTTGCCACTGCAGTAAGGTAGGTTATAATCAAAGTCTTCAGGGGTTCCTTCATCCTCTACTTCCTGGCTCATTCATCAATGACGCTCTGACCTCATTCCATACCTCTGCTTGCCGATAATCCTGAAGTTTAGCAAACTCATCAGCAAAGTTTTTCAGGCCCTGCTTTAAATTTGGGGTCTCTGTAGAGGCATACACGTTGACTTCATTCACCAGGAGGTCTGCTTTGTCTCTCAGTCTGGCAGTTTTCCGTACATAAGCAGCAAAGATTTGGCACAGCTCTCCAAAATGCTTCTCCACATTTGTGACAGCATCTTGCAGTTGTCTGGTTTGAGCGTCCCTAGAGAAAAAGGTGACACAAAAAGCAAAACATTCTCGTTAAGATGAGATGGCTTCGCGTTAATTTGATATGAAACATTCTTGGGGCATTCTGCAGCCGTGAAGGCGCAAACCCCCTCAACGATCCCACGGTCTTCCGAAGCGCGGGGCGAATTGCGCTCCTCCAGGACCCCTTCGGATCCCGGCCTCCCTATCCAAGACCCTGCAGGCCCCTAATGAGGCCCGGACCACGCGGGCCTCACTGCAGCGGGGTTGCGACTGCTTGTGCCGCTTCGGACCGAGCGGCCTGGGCGTCCGGCAGCTTCTCCGGTTTCTGCATTGCCAGCGGCAGTGAGGGACCGGAGGAGCGGTGGGTGGCAGCCAGCCCTGCCCTGGGCCCTCCGGGGTCGCCGGCATTCGCTGCAGCCCGCGGAGGTAGGCCCCTGGGCGCGGAGAGGGCTGTGCAGCCTCCGGCCCAGGGTCGGAATTCGGCGCGGTGGGCCCCTTGGGGAGGCTCCACTTTCCCTACCCCAGCCTTAGCGTTAGGGCGGCCCTGGGCAGCTAGGCCCCGGGCTGTTACCGGTTTTCCAGGCTGCGCCTCAACATCTTGCCTCACGAACCGCCAGAGACCCTTGGCTAGAGCCCAACGACGGGGGGGCTCGGAGACTCCCGAACGCTAGCCGCTGCCTCCGGGAGCCCGAGAGCCCGCCCCGCGCGCCGCCGCGCCGGCCGGGGCGTTTCTATGGAAACGCGGCGCGCGCCCCCACGGTCAATGCCCGAGGCGACCAGTGCCCAGCCGGAGCCGGAGCAGAGCAACGCAGGGAGGGACGGCGACCACGTGCCCACCCGTGCAGGCCAGCGGGCGCCGGCAGCGGATGGGAAGCCTGGACCTTTCATCTTACCTATGCACTGCTCTTACCAAACCCCCTGTGTCCAGTTCTTAAGCAAAGGAGAGAAACGCCAATCAACTAGGAACCAGGAGGGGGACCTAAAACTAAAGGCAAATGGAGTCCAGGCTCTGCTTATGCGAAATTAAGTCTCCTAACATTCTTGTCTGTCTGCATTTCTCTGTGTTGAATATGAAAATGTGGACTCTTGGAAGGTGCCTTTGGAAGAAGTGCTTACCACGTAATTTTTAACCTTTTATTTACTTAGCAAGTAATTATTGAGTTCCTACTGTGTAGAAAAGCTTGTGTTAGATGCTGGGAGCAATACAAAGATAAGAACCAGGGGTCCCTGGCCTGAAGAGCCTGAGAGTTTGATGAGGAGACAGACATTTCAGCTGTTAAAAAGACACTCAGATAATAAACAGATTTTTTTTTTTCCTTTTGAGCACCCCTGTCCTTTCTATCCTCTTGGCATTTGCTTAAGCTGCTCTTCCAAACAAACCTGAGGTCTAAATTCAAGCTTTATTTGCCTCAAGAAACCCCTCTGGACTTCTCCCACACTTGGCTCGTCCAGGCAGTCTGGGGGTCCTTTGCAGCAGTACACTGTGCTGATTTTTTACTGTTCCTTGACTTTAAGCTCTTTGAGGAAGTGGAAATGTGGTTTTGCTCAGGGGTTTTGTGGTTTTGTATTTCTCAGGGCCTCATGTGACAGGACGAAAATGTATTTTGCACAAATGGATGTCCCTAAGACCTTTATTACCTCACCTTTAGAACTTCTCTTACTCTCTTGTTACAAAATGTTATCTCTCTTCCCCCCTTATATTCAGTCAGCAAGTTAGCTGTTGAATGCCCGCTGTGTTTCAGGTACTAAGCTCAGAGAATGGTGTGATTACCAGAAGTCAGAAGAGTATTTGCTTTTATAAAGCTCATAGTCTTGGGGAAGGGATAGATGCTAATCAAACAAACAAATATATGTAATTAAGGTATATATTTTTGTATCAGCTTTTGCTGTGTAATAAGTCACCACAAAACTTAGTGTCCTACAAAAATCCTTTGGCTAACTCAGGATTCTGATTGGGCTGGGTATTACTTGGGTTCTGTTCTGGTAAGCCAGTGCTGGGCCAGCTGATCTTGGTGTGTCAGCTGATTTGGTTTGGTGTGGTTTGTATGTGTTCCCTAAGGGTTCATGTGTTGGAGGCTTGGACCTAAGTATGACAGTGGGAGGTGGACCTTTAAGAGGTGGAGCCTAGGGTTAGGACCTTCAGTCTTTGGGGCCCTGCCCTTGGAAGGGACTAAAGAATTTCTGGTGGGATTCTGGTTAGTTCTCTCAAGAGGATTGTTTTTAACTCCAGAGTCAGGCCACACTCTGATATGATCTTTTCCTCCCACACATGCTCTGTGCTCTTGTGACTCATTCCGCCATGAGATCATCCCTAGATGACCTAGGTGGAGCAATTGGGTTCTATACCCTTAAACCTCCTGGTATGCATGTTTTAGCCAGCTTTTTGCTGCTGCAACAAGAACAACTTTTGAAAGGAGAAGCTTATTTTTCCTCAAGGTTTCAGAGGTTCTCAGAGATTCAGAGCTGACTCCATTGGCTCTGGCCAAATGAGGCATCTAGGCTGCAGAGACAGGGGAAAGGTTCCACAGGGAAGATGAATCCTTTCTGGGTTTGCCCCCAGAGACCATCTTCCTCCAGCCATGTCCCGCCTGCCTCCAGTTACCACTCAGCCATTTAAGCTAGGATGGGTTAATTATGTTCCAGCTCTGACAATCCAATTATTTCACCTTCTAACATTCCTGCATTAACATAAGAACTTTTGGAGGACCTTATATCCAAACCACTACCTGACTCTGAACTAAATAAACCTTTATTATTCAAATAAAATTAGGCTGCCCGAGTTATTTTATTATAGTAATGCAAACCAGACTAGTACAGTGTTTTGGGGTAGGCAACCTGTTGGCAGGAGCTAGCCAGGCCTATTCATGTGGTTTCTGGGTTTCAAATCACCAAGACAGTACAAGTCCCACTGCACAAGTGCCTTTCAAGCCTCTACCTGTGTCATATTTGCTGATATCTTTTTTTTTATTGGTTGTTCACAACATTACAAAGCTCTTGACATATCATATTTCATACATTAGATTGAAGTGGGTTATGAACTCCCAATTTTACCTCAAATGCAGATTGCAGAATCACGTCGGTTACACATCCACAATTTTACATAATGCCCTATAAGTAATTGTTGTATTCTGCTACCTTTCCTATCTCCTACTATCCCCCCTCCCCTTCCCTCACATCTTCTCTCTCTACCCCATCTACTGTAATTCATTTCTTTCCTTGTTTATTTTCCCATTCCCCTCACAACCTCTTATATGTAATTTTGTATAGCAATGAGGGTCTCCCTTCATTTCCATGCAATTTTCCCTTTTCTCTCCCTTTCCCTCCCATCTCATGTCTCTGTTTAATGTTAATCTTTCCTTCCTGCTCTTCCTCCCTGCTCTGTTCATAGTTGTTCTCATTATATCAAAGAAGACATTTGGTATTTGTTTTTTAGGGATTGGCTAGCTTCACTAAGCATAATCTGCTCTAGTCTCTTTCTGCTGATATCTTTTTGGTTGATGCAAGGCACATGGCCCAGACCGGATTCAGAGTGAGTAGGAACTACTGTTGTTAAGGGTAAGGGTAGTTGGTTAAGCGAAGGAAAGAATTAGTGCCACTTTTGCAATCTAACATGGGCACTCAGGGAACTACATGACACCAAGAGAATACATCCTAAAAAGCTTTGGTTTGAATTAGTTGCAGAAGGACTTCATTGAGAAAGTGATATTTGAGCTGAGATCTGAAGAATGAGAAGGGGGGTTAACTAGGTGATAAGGGAGTGTCCAATGAGAGGGACAGCCTAGGCAGATTGTCTCCTTCTTCCTCAAACCCATTCTCATTTCTACCTAGAATTTCCATATCTCAGAAAATGGTACTAACTTCCAGCTGATTGTTCAGGTCACAAACCTAGAGTCATCCCTTCTCTTCCCCATCTACACTGCCGATTCCCATCGGTTCCACCTTCAAAACATCATGAATCCTTCCTTCTTCATTTCTCGTACACCCCCATAATCTAAGCTACTATCATCATTCACCTACTGCAACACCTCCCCCCCCTTTATCAATCCCCTACATTCACAATTACACACAGCAGTGGATAATAAACATGTAAATCAAATCATGTCAACCCTTCAAAGCTCCCAGTATGCTTTAAATAAAAATTTAAATCCTAATTCTGGCCATTAAATAATTTGTATCTCATTCCCACCTACCTTCTTACTGCACCACTGTGCCTCTCTGCTCCTTGCATGGATCAAGCTTATTTCAGTTTTGTTTGTCATTTTCTCTGCCTGCAATACTTCTTCTTCAGGTCTTCACACAGATGATCCCTTTTTATCATGGGATCATCCTACAGAAGCACCGATAGAGTGAGGTTTTCTCTGATTATCAAATTGTTGTCTTAGTACTCAGTTTTGTTTCTCTTGAAGCACATATCACTTTCTGAAATTAACCTGTTTGTTTACATGCTAATATGCTATTTCTGTTCCCATGACTAGGATATATTCCCCTTGAAATTAGGTACTTTCCTATGTTGTTCCCATTATATTTCTGGTAATACCCGTAGTGGAAACTAAACAATTACTTGATGTTTTCATCAGCTTTTTCACTGCTGTGACTAAATGATCTGACCAGAAAACTATAGAGGAAGAAAAGTTTATTTGAGGGCTCACGGTTTCAAAGGTCTTAGTCCATAGACTGGTGGCTCCATTCCTCAGGCCTCAAAGTGAGGCTGAGCATCATGGCGGGAGAGGGTTGCAAAGAGAAGCAGCTCACATCATGGTCATCAGGAGGTAGAGATTCTAATGGCCATATATAAAGATGTTCACCAAAGCCACACCATAATTCCCACCTCCTCCAGCCACACCCTATCACTTCTGTTACCACTCAGTTATTCCTATCAGGGGATTAAATCACTGATTCGGATAAGACTCTTACAACCCAATCATTTGTTCTCTGAACCTTCTTGCATTTTCTCACATGTGAGCTTTTGGGGGATACCTCACATTCAAACCATAACACTTGACTTTATCAGTGAATAAATGAGTGAATGGGTGAAAAATCCCATTGCAAAGGGAGTCTCTCTTGTGGTGGGAAAACGAGAGGAAGCCAGTGAAGCTGGAATGAGGGGGCAGCTATGGGATGTAGTTGGAGAGGGGTAGGTAGGGTTCAGATCATAAAGGCCATTTTGGCCATGCTAAGGAGTTTGGAATTTGGTTCTTGTATGAGTCAGGGTTCTCCAGAGAAACAGAACCAATAGTGTGTACACATATGTGTCTAATATAACATAGTTTTATTATAAGGAGTTGGCTCAAGTGATTAAAGAAAAGTTGAGAAATCCCAAGATCTGCAGTCCTAACACAGAAGACTCAGGAGAGCCAATGTGGAATCTCAGAGTCCAAAGGCCTGAGAACTAGGAGAGCTGATAGTGTAAGTTCTAGTCTGAAATCTGGAGGCACTTAGACCCCCAAAAGCCTATGCCTCAGTCCTAGTCAGAAGCTTGGAAAAGGCTGGTGTCCCGTGTCATGCAGCCAGTAGGAGCGAATGGTTCCTCTTTACTCAATCTTTTTTGTTCTATGCAGATCTCCAATTAATTGCATGAGAGCTATTCACATTAGGGAGGGCAAATTGCTTTGCTCATTCTACAGATTAAAATGATTATTTCACTCAGAAACATTCTCAAAGTCATACTCAGAATAATTTGTAGCAAAACATTTGGGCATCTGTGGCCCAGTCATGCAATGTATAAAATTATCACA